ACACTGCATCAACAGTATGGTGAGGGGCTTAACATTTTCGTCTCACGCTTGAGGTATTCGGCCAATCACAACACACTGGATAGCTGGCCAATCACAGCACACCTCGCTTTTTCAGACCGATGAGCTTCGACACGTTTCAAAAAGGCGAGGCATAGAGGAGAAACAATAAGACAACTTTTACTTGTAATGGAGTAATATTTGACCAGCAGTATCTGTACTTTCACTCAAGTAAAAGAGTTGAGTACTTTGTCCGCCTCTGATCGCCGGATCGGCTTTCACCATGGACGAAGCGGAGTCCAGCCCGGGGTCCTCACATGTGGTTGCTGCAAGCCCACCAACAGCTCCTTCGTCGAATCCGCCCGCTGCGCCGTTCTCAAGCCCGCCCGCCATCGCTCACTCTAGCTGCCGGCCTCTGCTCACTGTAGCCCGCCGTGTGTTTCGTTGTGAAAGCGAAACTACTTTGTTTGGTCTTCCAAAAGAGGACACTACTAGAAATCAGTGGTTAATTTGTATTTACAACACTGTTCCAGAACAGTTCAACCCAAATATTAATTTGTGTGCAGCACATTTTATGGAGGACTGTTTCCTGATCCTGGGAGAGTAGACTACAATGCTGGCTGTTCTGACTCACAGACTGTAAGTATGTTTTCATTTAAAGGATTTGCCACTGACGATTCAAACGTGAGTTTTGAGCAGTGTGGAGTAGCGCTTGTTTGTCATTTCTCCGATCATTAATCTTGTTAAAATGATCTAATCTGTAGAGAGGAAATTGTATTTTGTATATATACAAAATACCATAAGACAAAGTAGAATTATTAAAAACTTAAGTAGACATTTTTATAATATATTATAAAAAATGTCTTCTTGTTTTACTGTCATTCCACTTTTGTTGCCATGTCCTTCCTTCAAGTGCTTCTTTAGCCATTTTATCAGATTTTTTATTTTATTTATTTTTGTTTTGTTTTGTTTTCCTGGTATATCAAAATATGCTGGTACCCCTACAAAATTAACTATTATTCTAGCTTGTGGAAATAAATATATATATAATTCTTCCCTAATTTAAATTCTGGAATATAAAATGCTGCTCCTGCACAGTAAAATCAGCAGTGTCGATTTAACACTTAAAGTGTTAATTTTAACACTACTAAAGATTATATATGATCCCAATCTGTCCAGAGTTAAAAGTACAAATACAAAATTTAAATCAAGAGACTTCAGACTTAGTCTTCAGATATACAGTAATAACTCATTTTGATTTAAAAACTGGGCAAAGTGACTACTTTAAAACAACAGTCAACAGTTCAGTCAAATTCATGAGGGGTTGCACAGAAATACAAAATGGATAAAACAAACTTATTAACATCACAGAGACATGAACAAGTGACAGCTAAATTTGAATAAGATTACAGTAGGGTACAACAAAACAAAATAAATTATCAGACCCATAGGACATCTGCAAATCAAAAGGTTTGTAATAAGTGAGTTAATTGACAGTAAACACTTTCAGAGATGCACTGGGTCTGTGATCAATTCTGTGGGCAGAAAGATGCTCATCAAAACAAACAGTTTTGAGCTGCGATGTAACCAGTAACACACATTCATTTCTGACAATAATATCCTTGATTTTATAAAACACTGGCAAATCAAGGTCTACCTGACCACAAATAATTTTATCCAAAGCGACTTACAAAGGAGGACAACAGAAGCAATCAATTGTAGTATTAAAACAACTAAAAACAGATCAAAAACTAAAAGCTAAAACTTTATAAATACTACTTATACACATTTTAAAAATAAAGAGATTAAATAAAAATAACAAATGCATACAACAAAATTTAAAAACTTAACATTTAAATGAAAAACTAAAAAATAAAGCTAAAAACAATTCAAAATATTAAAGAACAAACGGTGTAAGAATATAATAATGATTCTAGCATAACACTAAGCCAAACACCAAAAAAAAACTACACAAATGGCTGCAATATAACAAAGAGTGAAAAATTTAAGGGGGTCTGAATACTTTCCGTACCCACTGTATATACTGTATATGTACATACACATTTATAAATTCAATATATATATTATTTCATTTCCATTTAGTTTGTTGAAGTATTAAAATAACTCAAATTAAATAAAACTAAAAAGTTAATAAAAGACCTATACAGACATAATAAATTAGACAATGTAACTAAAATTTAAATAAATAACTAATACAAATCAATCGACTTGTACAAACGAGTTTATCAGTAATCCTAAAAAAAGAACCCTGCCAAACACACATACTAAAAAACAACAACTTACTTACACATAGTAAGAAATGGTTATAAAAACTGAAACAGAAGCGAAACAAGTAGTAGGAAAGAGGAGAAATAAAAAGCGATACTTATCCTTTGCCGGTGTCCCTGCTCGGTAGAGTCGATGGTCTTTACACTCTTCGGTCTTCACACAAGGAGGCCTTCACGTGACGGCTAAACTAAGCTTTTTTATACCCGTCTAACAAAATACTAAATTAATTCAGCCGGACACACTTTCCTTATTTTCTCCGCAACAAATGGCCAAGCAAGCGCAGACACTGACAAGATACGCGATACAGAACGAGACCAAACCTAATTAAGGTAGAATGATATTCCGTTCCATTATACTTCACCCATTTCACTGAGAGAACATTTGTTTCTGGAAGAATATTCAACTTAGATGCAATCTGAAGACTTCCATTCAAGTCACTGACACAGACATTCTTTCCTGGTCCAAGTACAATTCTGTCATAGCTAAAGGCTTCCCAGTTATATGCCATGAAATTCTGATATTTTTTGGCAAGCATCTTAGTTATGTTCTTGAAACATTTTGGTTTATTTATTTGGTTTAGTCTTTAAGAAATTGTGTTTGGACTCGTATCGCATTGACCACATGTGAACAATAGGCCCAATATTTCGTATACACCGAAGGTAGTGACACATTAAATTATGTTTAGGTAGCAGATTCTTTCCTGGAAATAAGCACTTGAACAACCTGTGATGCTCAGTAATTAAGTGTTTCAAATAAACAGTAAGTAATTCAGTTAAAATGGGAGAAAATACAATGTTCACTATTTGTAGTAAAAGGAATAGTAATTGCCAGTATTTATCGTCTTGGGGCACAATGTCACCATATATTAGCGGTACATTTCGGAGTAGACACCA